AAAATATTTTTTTTTCAAAGGAAAGAGGATATCATATATTTAATTAGATGCGATTGTATTTTTTTTATTTCTATAATTTTCTTTTTACTCTTGTACTTGAACTTATAAAAAATGGGTTAGAATATTGTAATGCATCAATAAAAAATAGATCAATGAATTGATTTCTTTCTCATCTTGTGTGTGAGTGGTGCGAGACCACAAGTTACTTTTCTAATGGAATGATTCCATTGTCCACGTGCTATCTTGGGAGTTTGCTCCTTGAGCCAGAGCGAGTCTAGTAGTTATCCCTATATTTTTCTGTTGTTTTTTAATTACTATTTTACTGTACCTCTCTTTATGGTTCTTCTATTATAAAAAAAAAATCCACTGCTTCTCGGCCTGCATCAGAAGCTATGTTTGATCTGGTGAATGCCTTTGTGAAGCCATTTGTATTTTTTCACTTTGAAAATTAGAAAGTAATATAAATGTAATGATCAAACAAAAGATAAAAAGTGGATGCATATAGATCAACTACTTGTGTAGAAAAGGCAGCAAGGAAAACAAAGAGGAAACAATAAGTATAATTTTATAATCCAGGGCATGACTCATTGCCTTAGTATTACTGGTTAAAGTAGATTTATTGGTTTAAAAGTTAAGAGAAAGAAGAATAATTCTCAGAGCATGAATAGGTTCTGGGATTGGCACTGATCATGTGATCTGGATAGTTTATATTGGAACTAGATCATGATTTCAGCAAAAAAGTGAAGGTTAAAAAAAATGTAAAAGCAAAGAAGGTAGAGAAAATATTGAAATTAAGATGCTCATGAAAAGATCTATATAATTTAGACTGTGCTACAAGGATATGGAACATGTGTGATATATCATCAAGGACACTTCTGTAGAATAAGGAATATGGACATTGCACATGGCATCAATATATTATGTATATTGGCTTAGTAGAACTGTACTGTCTATCTGTATACTAGTACATATTAGTTAAGGTAGGTTGCATACCACACTTGTTATTCTCATTATTCAGTGGGTTATTAGGTCAAGGATATAATTATTGCAGTTTATCCTTCCAGATAATTATGTTGTACAGGTTAGATAAAAGGATTCTTCATCTTGTTGCTTTCACTAAGCCTTATGAATTATAAGTAGCATCATCATTCATGGATAATCCACATATATGCTGTATTTTCACATCCAAAGATAATGTTAATTCTGCTGCTCATTCTCTATTGCAATCTACTAGAAGTTGTTCATTAGATAGTTATATTCTTGGCTCATGCTATTTAAAGGATCATCTATATGTCTTCCATTGTCCCCATATATGGAATTACATTAATCTTGTTATGCTGAAATCATTACTGTTGTATGTGCCAGCGATGTTAATGTTGCTATGATAATTACTTCCCCATCGAGTATTCCCTCTCTCGACTGCAACTCTAACCTTTTCACATCATTCTTGCAAATCCTATAGCTGTGTTGCTTTGTATTCTTGACCAATCTCCCATGAAATTTCAGATCATGCATCATGGACAGTGATGGCAAAGCCTCAAAAGTAAGGAGATTTGCTTGTTGGAATCACCTGGTAATATTCCTATTGGAATTAGTGAAGCCAAAGCCTATTCGGTCCGGGAAGACCCCTTATTGAAGTTTATTGCATCCAATCGTGATCTCATTTAGTTTCAGTTTGGCTGTAGGTGAGGATATGTCCTTTTGAATCGATTGCTATTTTGGCTGGAATTTTTAATCTAGACCTGTTTCTAGTTTGGATTAAATTAGCTAGGGTTTAATCTAGTTTAGGCAGTCCAATCAACTCTAGCCAAAAAAGCTTCAGGTATTTTGTTGTATAGTCGAGTGTATTGTGGTCACCTCTGTCCTCTCTCGACTTGGCTTTCCATCCTCTCTTCTTGGGTTCGGTTCTCTGTCTTTCTTAGTCTACAGAAAACATAACCTACAAGTATTATATATAGCTTTCCAGTCCTCCCTGTTATTTTATATACATTAATGTAGCTATTTGAAATCGTTTATCAGAGTTTTTTTTTACCCAAAAAAATAAAACTGCTTTAAGATTCTACCGAATGACCTATTAAGGTCATATGATAAATACATGGATAAATTTAGGAGAGAATTATTCACCCAAAGGGAAAAACGAGCGACTAACTCTAGCATTATTGGTAGTTTAATTAGCTGCTTGATTTCATTCTTGATAAACATGTAAAAAAATGAATGAAGTTAATTTTTTGAGAATTGTTTTAATTTGCTGGTGATCCTTAGTGTCTATGGTGGGTAAGCATCCTTGGTGCAGATGTCATAAATTGTGAAAGAATCAATTTCAATTTGAATTTGTTGGTATCCCTATATGAAACAAATAAAGTAAATAGAGTACCTTCTTTAATAGTCAAGGCTTCATATTATATGTCTAATTTATCGAAGATAATTTTTCAGCTCTTAAATAAATTTATTATATTTATATAATTTTACAGTAAATCCAAATATATCCTACGACCATCACTTTCTCTAAGCTTTGTGATTTTACATGCCTAGTTAGAGTAGATAACAAGCTAAGATGTCTGTCTGTCGAAGGGTAGATAACAACAACCCTCTCAATACTTTCTTAGTCCTCTTTCAATTTTTCCAATCTTTATCCGGTATATGAATATTTTTCTAACAAATACATGGAAGAAAGAAAAAGGCATATAAATTCGTATTTGACACTCTACCCAATTTGCAAGGACCACCACATGAAATATTTCCAGCCTCGAAGCAACTATTGCTGCATAGATATTAATTGCATAGATACATATTGCAAGCAACTTGTGACCAATCAAACACTTGCAGGTTATTTAATACAAAGCACTCGTCACATATTCTAAATATACTACTCACAAGATGGTAGACAGAAAAGGAGTCTACCAAGTTTTGAAGGATCTTTTAGGCCACAACCCACTTCATCACTGGCCAAACTCAGTTGCCACAAAGTGGGAAGACGTCTCCTTTGAGGAAGTGGACGCCTCCTCCTCCTCCTCCTCCTCTTTATCCCCCGTCACGTTTAAGACCCCGTGAGGCATCGTCATCATTAACAACACTATGCGATCTCCACTTGGCTTCTCCAACCGCATGATGTTTACGGCCATCGCTACCGAGTCCACCCTCCGTGCTACTGTGTGTGTGTGTGTGCATCTTTAAGTCTTCGTGCCTTGAGGTGGAGATGCTTTGTGTTGGGAGACCAGAGAGAGAGAGAGAGAGAGAGAGAGAGGTAGAGGTTTAAGGTTGCACCACGGGATGGTGTTGGAAACGTGGAGCAAACATGGAGACTTCTTTTGTGGTGGTGATGGCGATAGATCATGCAGCAACGACTGACTTTGATTTGATTAGTAGCTAAAAAGATTGGTTTTGGTGGCACGCGTAGCACCGCTTCGTTGTGGCTGTTGTTGTTGTCGTCGTCTTTGGAGATAATGTGGCAATTGCATAGTGTCCACCCGCTGACTTATTGCCTTTTTAACATAATGAATTTTTTCTTTCATCATCATAATTAAAAAAAAAAACCAAATATCCTTAGAAAAATTCGAACATTTTTTTATTATAAGTAAAAAGGTTGAGGAAATTTTTATCTTTCTAAGTTCAAACAATTTAGTTATTGAATTGAATAGGTGGATGAATATATATATTTTAATTTTTTTTATTTGACTAACCGATCTGATCAGAATTTTATAACTATGCAAATAGAGATAATAACATATGCTAGTTATGATACGGAGTCCAGAGATACTCAAACTTTTCTATTAGTGAATGAATGCTTATGTCGGATTGAAATGTTTCGAATAAATATTCAGGATCATGTAATATCTATGTTTTATTGAAAAATATTTAAAATAAACAATAATATTCTTTCGAAAGATAGTAATATTACAAGGCAAATTCTTGCTTTTCAGTTTAAATCCTCCATCTTTTTCAGGTTAGGTTTTCTTCTCATTTAGGAGTACTTTAGAAGAAAGGGAGCATCACCACCTTGTCAGGACTTTGAAGGAGCGAAACCAGCTGTGGACATCCCCAACAAGAATGCAAAGACCTTGCTTGTCAAGAGAAAACCACTCTCTCTCTCTCTCTCTCTCTCTCTCTCTCTCTCTCTCTGTGAGACACATTATGCCTCTTTGGCGAGGAAAAAATCTGCGACACCCCCCGATCACTCCATGATTGATAAAAGAAGCTCATGAACAAGAAGTGATTCCAGGACACACACTTTTGACTATGC